CATGACATCTGACCCGATGATGTGATCCAGTGTGCAGGGCATTTTTTCCCTTGTACATGTTGTACAGTTGATGGAGTTTTTTTCCAAACTCACTCGTGCTAAGATTTCACTGCAGATAATCGTTGACCAATGGGATCAGGAAACCTGCGACTGAATCAGCCAGACGGTGACGCTTCTGGCAGGGCTTACTCTTAGCTGGGCATCCGAAAACCCGGAAAGGTCAAACTCCTTCTCAGTATGGAAAACCCTGCTGCAGAATTAATCTCCGCTGTACTTTGCAGTTCGACACCGAGTCACCCCCGCGCCACAATGAGGCGGTAGACCATTACGGGGGGCTTGGATTTAGGGAGAAAAAAAATTGCTGTATGTCGTTCGCCTATAAAAAGACTACAGTGTGAGTTCTCGAAAGAAATGCAAAAAAGACTTACTTGGCCCGGTAACGCAGTTTTTGAATTTGTATGTTATGCGAATGTTCGTTTATACGATTTCGTTCCAGCGCTTTCTGGATTGTTCGGAGAGCATCCGACGTAGCTACATTAACGCCAAAATGTTCTCTGCAGACTATAATGAGACTGCCCCTCTGCTGCTTCTCAGAAAGAACTCACAAGCATTTTCCGGGAAAGGATTTAATCATTCCACTTAGAACGGAGTTCGGAGAAAATATGAGGAAAGGAAATTGGATGAGCGCATAATAAGGGTACTGAAAATTAGTCAAGGTTTGGATCATATTGCTGAGAGGATTTGAAAGTCAAAATGCGGCGGTTCTTAATCATATTAATCCAAAAATCAGAAATTCTTATTCTGCTTCTTCATGCTGCAAGATCAGTTGATCCTTATTTGCGAAAAACACATGAGGTTGGCTAAGAAGTTCTTGCACAATGATTTTGTTCATATCTGCTTAAGCGATAAGATCGAGATCATGGGAAGTATTAAGCCGGCAATCGGCTAATTGAATATAGCAGTCATCCTTCTCAAACAATTCCCTTATGCGGCACTGAAGCCGATTTTCTCCCAGCCACCAGCATCTGCACCCATGTCATACCTCTTAACATAAAATTTTTTGCGAATAATAAGAAGCTGGAACTCAACGAATATCTCTGAGCGGTTCACTCTCAACATCTGTACAGCCCACATCCCGTTCCATCAGATGAGGCATTTCATTGGATTCCTTCTACTTGTAGGAACTTCAAAACCCGTGCTGCCAGCACG